CAATGTGCCATTGGATCTCTCTCCCTTACATGTGGCCCAGTCAGTCACTATTAGGTCCACTCACTCCCGTGATAGGCCGGATTGGGCCGCCGTTCACGACGCGACTTTCTGAGCCCATCTTGGTGCGCCGAAGAAGCTTCATCGCTTGTCTAATCAGGAACAGAAGGTGACGATGCCGTGACATTCTCCCCCCGTTGAGACGAAGCTTGTCCCCAAGCTTCAGCCAATGGAAAGCGATGACGTAATTCTTGAGCATTCTCCTAGGTGATCACCTGAACATCTGGTCCAGACCAAGCAACCTGAACAAACTCCACCATTTTGGCTCCCTTGCGAATGAAGCGCCGATCCAAAATGCGGAGAGGAGTTGGTGAAGTATCTTGATCAGCAAGGAAAACTGGCAAGTGAGATTGAACTTTTTCAGTAGGAGCCAATGCTTTCTTGAGTTGAGAAACGTGCACCACAGGATGAATTAAGCTGGAAGCGCCAGACGATAAGCCACCAGGCTGACGTGCGCAAGCACCTGAAATAGACCATAGAACCGGAAAGAAAGCTTGCGATTAGTGCGAGTCAACCGATTGCTGGACAAAGGGCAGCAGCTTCATATACACCCAATCTCTCACAGCAAACTCTCTTTCAGAACGCTTAGCATCAGCCTGGGACTTCATGCGGAGTTGAGCCCGCTGCAAATGCTCCCGAATCAAAGACAACATATGGTCACGCTCTGTTAGCCAAGTAGCAAGATCTGAAGTTGGACAAGCAGCAGCGGCCGTCAAACCAAAGTATCGCGGTTTGTGGCCATAAAGAACCTCAAAAGGTGTGGTACCCAATGAAGAGTGAAAGGAGGTATTATACCAGTACTCAGCGAGGGCCAGCCAGCGGCTGCATTTGGAAGGGCAAGCATGCACAAAGCAACGCAAAAACGTCTCCAAACACTGATTGACTCGCTCGGTTTGTCCATCCGTCTGAAGGTGATAACTCATCTTTAATTGGGAACCTTCCAATCGAAAAAGAGTTGTCCACAATGTGCTAGTGAAAATGCGATCCCGATCAGAGATGATAACTTGAGGTAAACCATGCAGTCGATGTATATTTTGCACATAAGATTCAGCCACCTCAAGAGCTGTGAAAGGATGTGCCAAGGCCACAAAGTGTGCATACTTAGAGAACTTGTCAACCACAACTAAGATGCAATTGAATGACGCGGAACGAGGAAGGCCTTCGATGAAATCCAAAGAAACCACTTGCCAATACTGATCAGGGACTGGCAATGGTTGTAAAAACCCCGGATACCGAACATGTTCTGATTTGGCGCGCTGACAGATGTCACAACTTTGCACAAATCGGACCACATCTGCACGCAATCCAGGCCATGCAAAGAGCTGCTTGATGCGTTGATAGGTCACCTGAATACCAGAATGGCCACCAATGGCTGCTGTATGGAGGTTAGCTAAGATCTTCTGCTGAACAGAGCTGTTCTGACCAATCCAAATGCGGTCTTGAAAATATAAAATTCCATTCTTCAAAGTAAACTGAGGAAGTGCAGCATTATTGATACAAAGAGCCTGAACATTACTGCAAGCATCCGGAACCAGTTGATAACCATCAATGATTTCCTGCATCCATTCTGGAATGCACACTGACAAAGCAGACAACGTGACCAGGGAAGAATCAGAAACATGAGACAATGCGTCAGCCGTCCCATTCTCAGTACCCTTCTTGTACACAATGCGATAACACAACCCAAGAAGCTTAGTGACTGCCTTCTGTTGCCAAGGAGTTGACAAACGCTGGTCAGACAGGAATGATAGACTACGGTGGTCAGTACGAATGCAAAACTCTGCATGTTGAAGGTATGGGCGCCAATGCTCTACGGCAAGCATAATAGCTAAGCTCTCCTTTTCGTAAGTAGATAATCCTTGATGGTGAGGACCCAAAGCACGACTCAAAAAGGCAATTGGATGATCATTTTGCAGCAGAACAGCCCTGATTCCTTTATCTGAGGCGTCGGTCTCAACCGTGAAAGGAAGAGCAAAGTTAGGCATTGCCAAAACAGGAGCAGAAATCAGAACTTGTTTGAGAGCTTGAAAGGATTCTTCAGCCACCGAAGTCTAGATGAAAATCTGACCCTTGCACAACATATTAGTAAGCGGCTTACTGAGAATACCGAAATGGCGAACAAATTTCCAATAATATCCCACCAAACCCAAAAAACTACGTAACTCCTTGACAGAGGTAGGTGTAGGCCACATTTGCACTGCTTGAATTTTCTCCTCATTAGTGGCCACTCCATTTGGACTAATGACATGACCCAGATATGATAACCTGCTGTGCAAATGAGCATTTAATTTTCTTAACTTTGAGCTGATGCCTAGTGAGAATCTGAAAAACAACCCTCAAATGATTAACATGTTCCTCCAACATACGGCTATAGATCAGATTATCGTCGACGAAAACCAAAACACAACGCCGCAAGAGTGAGGATAAAATGTTGTTCATCACCCCTTGAAAAGTGGCCGAAGCAATGGTAAGACCAAAGGGAATGACACAGAATTCAAAGTGGCCATGGTGAGTACGGAAGGCAGTCTTATGCTCATCGGCAGAATTCATCCGTATTTGATGATAACCCGATCGAAGATCAAGCTTGGTAAACCACTGTGCACCCGATAACTCATCAAGCAATTCATCAATAGTAGGAAGGGGGATACTTACTCTTGACCGTAATTGCATTCAAATGACGGTAATCCACACAAAACCGCCACGTGCCATCCTTTTTCTTAATGAGCAGCACTGGGGAAGAGAATGGGCTTGCACTAGGCTGAATGATTCCCTTATTCAACATCTCAGTAACTTGTGACTCTATCTCATCTTTTTGGGCAGGGGTATAACGGTAGGGTCGCACACTAACAGGTTGAGCCCCAGGCAGCTAAGGAATGGTATGATCAAATGATCGCGAAGGAGGCAAACCAGATGGTTCATCAAAGATACCAGAGAAGTCCTGAAGCACCTGCTGTACACTGTCCGGAATAAACTCCTGTTCTGGTTTGCTATGTGAGACACATAACTGAACAAGATGAGCCACGGCTTGCTTAGCTTGCAGCTGTTTCATTTGACGACCAAGCAGTAAGTTACACTGAGAAGTCTGAGAATTAATTCCTTGCAACAAAATAAATTGGCCTTTCAGTGAGACAGTAAGCTGTTTGGTGGCCCAGTTCACTGTCATGGGACTATGCGCCGTCAACCAATCCATGCCCAAAATCAAGTCATAACTGTTAAGAGAAAGAACCCTGAGAGTTGTATTAAACACATACCCCTGAGTGCTCCATTGACAATCAGTAATGGCAGAAGTACAGTGCAAGATATTTCCATTAGCCACTTGGACAGAAATTTGCTGTGGTTTCCTCTGAACATTCCTTAAACTGTCAGCAATGGTGGAATTCAGAAAACTCACAGAACTGCCAGAATCTACCAAGATGAGAACCTCCAGCCCCTAAATTTGACCCACCATTCGCATGGTGCCATCAGTTTCAGAACCCAAAACTGCTTGAAGAGATATTGCCATCAATGCACCATCGGCCGACACTATGACTCATCTTCGAGAGTAATATCAGCCTCTTGTAGAATACTGAAAAGCTCTTGAACTGCATGCAGTTGCACTGAAGTAGAGCATTTATGAGTAGGAGACCATTTTTCAGCACAGATATAACAAAGTCCTTGTGCACGCCATTGTACCTTGAGAGCTGAAATCTTGTCTGACGGAGAAGAAGTCGAGCGATGGGGCTCAGTACCCAGACGGTCTTCAGTGCGATTACTCCCAACTGTTCAACCTGGGGGTTGAGGTAGTGGCCAAGCCCCTTTCATTGAAGGCTTATTGTTCAGATGGCCATCAAATTTCTTTGGTTCACGAGTTGATTGTCCACCCGACGACTCCGCCGCTTCTTCCTGTAAAGTAGCAATAGCAAGAGCAGTTTCTAGATCTCGAGGTCGTTGCAGAAGAACAGCATTGTGAATATCCTATCTTAAACCCTCAGTGAACCTATGGATCAGATATCTCATACTCACTGCTGGATCATAAGCTAACAGGTGATTCATCAACTCATCAAATTTCTCATAAAACTCCCACACAGTCCCTATCTGCCTAATTGTATCCATTTGCCTAATCAATTCATCATGTTGATCCCTATCGAATTTGTTAGCTACTGCTACACAGAAATCCTCCCAAACTGGAAACCGAACATGAGCCCTCGATGATCTAAGCCAGGAAGCAGCTCTACCCATGAAATAGATGGTGGAAACCCACACCCATAGCCCTGGATAAGTGTTGTTCACATCAAAGTAATGCTCACATCTCATGCGCCAATCTTGCGGGTCTGATCCGTCAAACTTAGGGAAATCGAGTTTAGGTACTCTGTGATTGTACTGCCGATTCCCCTGATCCAAATCACTCACCCCCCATCAAAATCGAAATTCTCCAAGGATCAAAAGGGAATTCGATTGGAATCAGACGTACCCTTGCCCAGAGAATGGATCAGGGTAGTAACTACACCCGATGCCTTTCCCCGGAAATTTTGATGAAGACGGTGGCCATTGGCCCATTTCTCCGCGCCCTCCGCCACAGCTGCAGGCGAGGTAGCCGTCGGCGTTGGCAGCAATGGGGCCTTCCTTTCCTCGCCCGTCAACGGGACCCGAGGGGAAGACGCCGCCGGTGGAGCTTGCTTCACCTTGTTCAGGAGATCCACCTGCTGACGAAGGTCGCCAACTTCTTCATGCAGATCCTGCACAGCCGCCTCCACTTGTGGTCTCCAAGCACTCACGCCTTGATCCAGCTTGATGATGGCGGCCTGCGTATCACCTTGAGCTCGATGCAGCGACACCAATGACTCCTGAATCTCACCCAGCACCTTGCCAAAATCAATATTTTGCTTCTCCATAGCCTCCACTTGAAGCTGCAAACGAGAGATATAGCATGGCTTCTCCAGGATTAACAAGCTCTGATACCAATTTGTCACGGCACCCTAGCTTCGCGCTGCAACAATGGAGGATTCAATAGGATTTTGGAAGAAATTGGAAGGGAAAAGGAAGAACTCAGAGAAGCAGAGATAGAACAGAGAAGAATTGAATTAGATGGGGAATTCTGTTTTTACATCGTTCAATTCACATCTCTTCTCTGCCGATCCTTATATAGCAATGTGCCATTGGATCTCTCTCCCTTACATGTGGCCCAGTCAGTCACTACTGGGTCCACTCACTCCCATGATAGGCCGGATTGGGCCGCTGTTCACGACGCGACTTTCCGAGCCCATCTTGGTGTGACGAAGAAGCTTCATCGCTTGTCTGATCAGGAACAGAAGGTGACGATGCCGTGACAGAAAGTCAGCTAGTTGTCCTTATTTGGTAGAGTACCATTTTTCACTCTGCAGCAGAAAATTGGATGGCTTTTAGCCCTTCCATGGCTTACTGCAAACTGCATGCTGATTTATTTCCTTGTTCTTAACACAGGCAGAGAAGGCCCAATTGCTCAAACGCTTTTCAACTTCATTCTTGAGGACATGAGATCCGGTCCAACTTCGGTTCGCATACCTGTCTCCTACTGAAATAAATAATAAAACATGTATTATTAGAAACAATTACTAGAATCCTAAAACTAATCACATAAAGTTGTATATTTGCATATTTCAGAAGGTCTTAGTTGGAGCCGTTCTGGAGTTGCAACCTTTGTGCTCTCAGACATCTTAATCCTGAACACAAATCTTTGCTATCCAGATTCTATACCTTAGGCATGGGATGCAAGGATTGGTAGCTGTTGCCCAGTGTAGAGAAGATTTGGATAATGTACAAAGAAACCTGTGAGATTGTTAATTTTGTACAGGTTTATCATGTCTTCAATACCTCATGCTGCAACACAAAGAAAAAAAAAACAGTAGCATGCAAGTCAGATTGCCAGAACCATGAGTTCAAGCCGCTGAAATAAGTCAGTAATTATGGTTACCTGTATTCAGAATGACTAGCTCCAATTCAGCGACATCAATTTGATTCAGAGTTACTGCTGCTTTCTTTGGGCGTTGTGTTTGATTAATCTTATCAGGCTGGAATGGTGCAAATGTTTGCTCCTCCTATCACATATTTTTTATTTTGGCAAATCTTTCTACAGGGCATCGTGACTTCGCAGTTTTAGCTGTAGAACACCACGCAAAGTGACTTTTGGATGAAACACTTTTCAAAAGTTGGATATTTGCTGGTGGACACCGCACCCATTAAAATAATAATTTCCTGGTGAGTAGGAGAGAGAATCGCGTGAAATATTAAAAATGCCCTTGGGCTCACATGTTACCTCTCTTATCTCTTCTCTCTATCCCCTCCTTCCAGCGCCACATTACATCGCTGCCACATCTCGGTGGGAAGATGAGCGTGCGCGACGGCTTAGCATGAGCCCGTCGGTGATGGGTGGCGGAGAGGGTGGCTCGGCCGAAGGCCGAGATGGGTAGAGTGGACCCTCCTGCACCTTCTAGAGGCAGCGGCGTGGCTGAGGGTGGCTAGAGGTGGCAAGTGCCATGGCTGGCGGTGACAGTGGGTCCGGGACGGCGACGACGACGTGGCTATGGTGGATGGTGGCTCGATTAAAGGAGAGGGGAGGGCCTAGTGACTATTGGGAGACAGCTTGGAGCTGTGCGGCGGCGAGGACCCGAGGTGGGCGGCTGTGGCTCTCCGCTCGACTTCCCCTGAAATTTGTTGAGGGAATGGAGTTAGGGAGGTCTTGGGAGCATGATGGCGCGAGGAAAAGGGAAGGGACTCAATGAGGCGTTGGTTTGCTTTTTGCGGGGGGATGCGGCATTGCTCTGGCCGACGCAAAGCAGTGGCGGTGGCATGGCGCAGGTCACCAGTGCCGGCGTGGAGATGGTTGTGGCCTAGTTGATGGATGGCGACACGGCAAGGAGGGTACGTGCCAGGGAGCTCGCCGTGAGGGCGAGGGCAGCGACCTTCATGTGGGTCAAGGGCAGCGTCGCCGGAGCTACGCCGGTCGGATTTGGAGTGGTGCCGCCGCCACCGTTCCCTATCGTTGTCATCCGTATCGCCGGGGGAGTGGGGTGTGGAGGAGGAGCTTCCGGAGGCCACAGCTTGCTCTGACACGATGCAGTGCTAGGAGGGGATAGATAGAGAAGAGGCAAAGGAGAGCTGACATGTGGGTTGAATGACATTTTTGACATTTCTCGTGATTTCTGTCTCCTCACCTAGAAATTATTATTTTAATGGGTCGTGATTTCTGTCTCCTCACCTAGAAATTATTATTTTAATGGGTCGTGATTTCTGTCTCCTCACCTAGAAATTATTATTTTAATGGGTGCGGTGTTCAGCAGCAAATATCCAACTTTTAAAAGTGTCTTCTCTCAAAAGCCACTTCGCGCGTGTCCTACGGGTAAAACCATAAGTCACAGTTACCTGCAGTAAAATTTGCTTTTATTTTCTGATGATGATGAGTGCCCTAACATGGGCCATGGCCATAGTTTGTTAGGAAGGAAGTGGGCTACTCGGCTTCCCATTCCAGCTCGGTTGGCCGGTCACCTCAAATGGACCCAGTCCCTAAAACCATTTTCTTTTATTTGTCCATTGTTCTTGCGTTTCATCAATTACACGGATTGGTATATGCATATTGTACAGTCAATCTCGCAAAAAAGAAAAAAAACAAATATAAGAAGAAAAAAAACACGGTGAGACACTATAATTGGCTTTTTGTTAAATAATCAGCGTATTATTTTGTTTTCATCTAGGTGAATAGTTATATTTATGACACCATATTTTACACTAAGGCCTTGTTTAGATCTCAAAAAAAATTGGCCAAAAACGTCACATCAAAATATTTGGACATATGCATGGGGCATTAAATGTGGGAAAAAAAACCAATTGCACAGTTTGCATGTAAATTGCGAGACGAATCTTTTGAGCCTAATTACGTCATGATTTAACAATGTGATGCTACAGTAAACATTTGCTAATGATGGATTAATTAGGCTTAATAAATCTGTCTCACAGTTTACAAGCGGAATCTATAATTTGTTTTGTTATTAGTCTACGTTTGCTATTCGTCTGGCTTGTTTTCATACGGCGTTCATTGTACCTTTGAATGTCGAGAGTGGGACAGTTGGGGTGGGAAACCGCTGCAGCCCTGGCGTCATCCTCCGAAGACTCCACCTCGGCAGCAACGGCACCATTACAGTTGAATACAAGAGCGATAGACTTGAGGGCTGAAAGATGGTGCAGCCCAACAACCGGACCACCATGGACATCGAGCTGCCACCTTGCATACAACCAGAGTTTCAGCCTTTGGAGCTTTGGCATGGCTCCTGGTTCAAACATCAACCCCACTACCGAATCCCGAATTTCAAAATTGAACTTGCGTAAATTCTGGAAGCCTTGGCCGCTGATGACCCACCTCAAGTTGGAGACGTCAGAATTTGTGTCCAAGGTAAGAGATTGCAGAATGGGTAAACTTGCAAGGATCTCAAGGCCTCCCACTCCACCAACTTCTACACGTAGGCGGGTGAGGTTGACGAGCGATGCAAATTGGCTTGGTATGGTAGGGAACTCATCGTAAAAGACAAGTCTCCGTAGAGGGGGAATGAAACCACAAGAAATCATCAATGAAGCTATGACATCAGGGTTGCTTAATCCCCGCGCAAGACGCAATGATTGGAGGCTGCACTTGACAAGCTTGGAGAGAGAGGAGATGCATGCTGTCCTGTGGCCCTCCTTGCTGTTATCTTCGTTGGAATCTGACCACCAGATTCGAACATCTCTCAGTTTGCTCAGCTCACCTAGCCCATAGATAGATTTTACTGATGCTCTATCTAGATCAATACCCGACAACACCTCCAGAGCTTGCAGATTTCCTATTTCGTCAGGCAGCGGCACTCCAAAAGGGATGAGAAGGTGCACCAGTTTCTGTAGCTGGACAATGCTTGCAGGTAGTTTTTCAATACGAGTATATGCCAGATCAAGTGTTTGTAGATGCTGCAGCTTACCAATCTCTTCTGGGAGCTTGTGGATACCTCCTTTGATTCTCAAGTACTTAAGTTCACAAAAATGTCCAACATGTTTAATATAGTTGTCCCCCAGACGAAGTTTTATAGCCAGCACACGCAGGACTTGACATTTTGCAAATTCTGAAGGGACTACTGGCAAACTTTCATGCTTAAACATATGCAATGATCGGAGATGGGATAGGTCCTTTGATGCTTTAGGCATCTTCGAGCCTTCAGAAAAGCCACTTTGCAGGGATAACCTGCGAAACTTATTTGAAGTATAGTCACTGGGGTCACTATTATTCAGTATGGTAACAAAATTCTCCTCCTCAGCTTGTGACACAATAAAGTCGAGTATGACATCGTGTATTCTGCAGATTTTCACTCTACCATCTGCCCCAATCTTTGACGGTTGTATCATGCTTCTGTTTATAAGCTCATGCAAGTAGCTTTCTCCCGACTGCTCCGTACATGCTCTGCTCTGTCCAAGAATTAATCCTTCAGCTACCCAAAGCCGTATCAAACGTCTAGGATCAATATTAGAATCCTCTGGAAAGACACTTAAATATAACAAGCACGTCTTCAGATATTGAGGAAGATCAAAATAACTGAGAAACAATATCCTCTTCATTTTGTCAACAGGAGAATCTTTCTCAACCATAGAAGAGATAGAGTTCTTTATTTTGGTCCACACTTCCACTGTCGGATTCTTATTGGACAATAACCCAGCTATACTGATAATGGCTAATGGCAAGCCACCACATTTCTTCAAAATTACACTAGCTGCTTCCGTCAAATGTTTGGGGCAATCTTCGCTAGAAAAGACTCTTCTAAAAAATAATTTGCAGGAGTTCTCTTCACTTTGAGGCATGGCTTCGTACATATGCCCCACAAAGTCGCAACAACATGACTTTGCCACATCTCTTATGCGTGTTGTAGTAATTATTCTACTCTTGTTGTCATTGGCAGGCAAGGCTGACTTCAATTGTTTCCATGCATCTGTGCTCCAGATATCATCAATGATGAAAAAGTACCTACGTGGAAATGTTGTGGGAGTTGCATTAGTAAGGTTGCTGCATTGCAACTTCTGGTATTGTATTATTATTATTTCCAATGCAAAAATATATCATATTTTCCCTACGCACAAGTTAATAAGTTTATTAGACTGAAAAGTGCGAAGGCCAAATGTGAGAAAAGAATATCAAAATACGTTCTTTATTACTCTATTTTTTTAACTCGTCATTTGGGACACATTAATCTCATATTCTTTTTATACACATGTTTGATCATTTTTAATAGCATATTCATAAAAATATTAAAAGCAATAACTGCATGAAAGTATTTTTCACGACCAATCTGCTAATGTCATTTTGACACATTTATTTTTAGTACTTTTGTATATATTCCATATATTTGGAAATTGTATTTCCCTAATTCTACAATATGCTATCTTTTTTAGCGAGTGTATAAAAATAGTAGTAATACAAAGGAGAAAGATACACAAAAAAAATTCGAGTTTCCCCCATTTTCTTCATCTTGCTCCGCATCACAGCCACTAGTCCACCCCTTGGTGGAGATATTTAACCATTTGCCACATTTAAATGTGGCAATTAACTTTTTGCCACTGGACCCATATGTCATAGACACATGTGGACCCACATGTCATTGAGATAGGGGTGGCAAATAGTTATTTACCAAATCTAAAAGTGGCAAATAGTTAAAAGCCCCTGCAGGTTGCAGTCTCAGGCACACCACCGTCATGATTTTACGAGGTAGTGCCTAACACGTTGGCCTTGCATGCCCTCAACTCGAATGATATCTCAGCCAACATGCATGGTGGCAGTGACGGACATAGCTTATATAGATGGGGCGGAGAATGGAGATGCTCACTCGATAAGAGCAATCGAGCACAACACATATCGTATTAATAGTTCATTCGTATATCTGTCTCAATTTGTCAGGCGTTTATACCTTGTTATACCTAAATTTGATGACCCATGACTACTATAAGGGGATAAGGAGGTCTTGAGAGTGTGGGGCGACACGAGTCATAGTTGAGTCGGTCGACCCACCCTGCCTAATGGGTGGATCCACCCCTGCATGGTGACCTTTCTCTGTTGGCAATCAAACACCACATTCCACTTTAGGTCATGTTGGGTTAATTCCCACATGAGAGAATTGAAGGAAAATAATTTCACATCACAATAGATAAGAAATAAATCTCTTTCAAATCTCCCTTAATTTTATTGTGAGAGGGATTAACTGAACAGTAAAGATGACAATGGATCTTACGCTAGCTATTATCTCGGTTATGTCGATGTCAACCCAACCCAACCCCGTCCAAGCTCACTAGCCAATCAGGAAAAACTTTTGAGTAAATGGCATTTATGGTACACGAACTTGTATGGCAGGTGCAAATAGGTACAACAATAACTTGCAAATTGTTTATTCCGGTACAACAACTTGGCTAATTCGTGGAAACCTAGGCCAAAACAATGCACACAAGTAAAATTGATCTGATATGATCCCAAAATCCGGCAGACCTATGAAATAGGATCCTAGATTGGGAAGGACGGGGTGGGGGGAAGGGAAGAGGGGGGGGGGGTTTCGCCAGCTTTAGAGGGATGGTCATGTGAGGAGGCGCGATGAGCAGCGGAATGGGTGGGCGGCAAGGCGACGGCAGCTCCACCGAAGCCGCGATGAGCAGCGGAATGGGTGGGCAGCAAGGCAACAACAATGCCACTGAAGGTCTGAAGCCGCGAGGTCAAAGAGGGCGCAGATATAGGGGGAGGGGGCGGGGGACTCGCCAGCATTGTTGACAAGCTCCAACCAGCTCGCGAATTGTTCTAAGTTAATCATGTTCACAATTGTTCTACTAATGAACACAATTGTTCTAAGTTAATCATGTATTTTTTTCTACTAATGTCATTCACGTTACCAGTTAAATAAATATAATTATTATTTCCAACTATCAAAATGAAAAGGTGTAACTTATATAATTCAATCCGAATAAATGTGTATAAAGGAGTATGTTTTATACTTGAAGCTAAAGAAGTACTCCATCCATTGTAATTATAGTAATCTAGTGGAGTATTAGACACAACCTAGTAACCTAGTACAAAGTTACTAGTAGTAGTATGTTGAATGCAAGAGATTGGTGGAAATCAATTAATCGTTCAATTGGGAAATGGCCTTGGGATGACCGACGGTAACAACTTTCTCTTTCAACCTTAGGATCGAGATCCAATGTTCTAAAATAATTAGGGTGATATGGCTAAACGACGGAATAGAAAAATATTATTAATTACACAAAGTGAAGATAAACTATATGTATTGGCTTATATATAGGAATGGAAGAATGGTGGAAATCAATTAATCATTCCGTAGGATTGGGAAGCGGCTTTGGGATGACTAGCAGGAACAACTTTCTATTCCAACTTTAGGGTCGAGATCCAATCTTCTAAAAGATTTGGGGTGATGATGCTAAACCAATGGGCAGAAAGAAATACTATTAGTACTAAATAAGGATGAATATATAGGTTTATAGGATTAAGAGTTGCATTAACTTGCTAAAAAAAATTGATATACTCTCAGTTGGTTAAATCATGCAAATATATACTCCAATGGCTTGGAAAATGTCACAAGATCCATACTACCAAAATGTTCTACAAAATTAATTCATAATATTTTAATCGATGCTGTTGAACAATAAATCATGTATGGATAATTACCTCTTGTCTTCTAAGTTCTTCCTCAACTTCGGTATAAGTTGTTCCATCTCCCAGTCGTTTGACTTTTCATACTCGCGCTCGTTAATCTGAAAGAGTATGTCTCTAAGAAGCTTCTTGATATCAGGAGTCCGAGATACAGAGACCATAGCCCGACAATCAAATGATTCATCAATCTTGTGATACACCTCCATAGCTAGAGTAGTCTTGCCCAACCCTCCCGTTCCAAAGATGGACACCACCTTCAGTTGCTTCTCTTCGCTCTTTATCCAGCCAATTATCTGTTCCCGAGGCTTATCAATGCCCACAAGGTTTTTGGCTTGCTCATACAAGGCTGGTACTCGAGGATCCAAGCGCACATGTTGGGGTGCAACCATGAGCCGATCCGCGATCTTATACCGTTCATGCCTCTCTTTCTCTTCGATAACACGTTCCTTGAGTTGTTTGATCTCATCTCCAATCTGATGGTTCTCCCACAGCTTCTTCATCTTGCGCACGCCCTTTTGCAGGAGATTAGCATTGGCATCACCACTGCTGTGGTTTTGCAAGAAGCGGTCGATGCAATCCTCGATGTCGTAGGATAGCTCACGCACCTTGTTCCTCCACTCCTTGGTCTGCACATCGATCTGGTCGTCGTCCATGTCTCCCAGCCTCTGCAGCACGGCGTTCATGCTTCCCAGCTCGTCTCTGAGCCAGCGGATGCCGCTCTTGACGCCCTTGAGATGGGTGTACTCGTCGGTGAGCAAGGAAGCCAGCTTGGCTATGACGGAGTTCATCGCCCCGGAGGAAGCGCTCACCGCCGCACCAGCCATCTCGAGCACGCGAGCTCCAGATCTGGAACGACGACGCTCACTGCTGCTGCCGCCGTGTGGGTGTGGACTGTGGAAGTGTGGAGTGGGGTTTGGTGGAGGACAGGAGGAGAGTGAAAGGTGGAAGAGATTCTCCGGCCGAAAGGCTCACGCGCTGGCGACGCATTGGACGGAGAAATGGTCATACACTCATAGTACTATTTTTTGTTTTTTTTAATGGCCAATCAATAATAATTGATGACGGAAGTGAGAACGACCATTCCCAAGGTAGGAGTACATCCGTATCAGAATAAGCTTCAAGTATATGCTCAGAATTTGCTTAAATAAGCAAAATGTGCTTCAAGGTAGCATACAACCAATTGTTTGAGAAAGAGAAGCACCGGATCACAGGCCTTGTTTAGTTCCCAAAATTTCAAATTTTGATAAAAACGTCACATCGAATCTTTGATACATGCATGAAGTATTAAATATAGATAAAGAAAACTAATTGCACTATTTGCATAGATAGCTCGAGACGAACCTTTTGAATCTAATTAGTCCATGATTAGCCATAAGTATTACAGTAACCCCACATATATAATGACAGATTAATTAGGCTTCATAAATAAGTCTCGTGGTTTCCAGACGAGTTATGAAATTAGTTTTTTCATTCATGTCCGAAAACCCCTTCCAACATCCGATGTGACACTCAAAAATTTTCTTTTCGCGAACTAAACACACCCACAATTCACAGGGAGAGATAGGGAATGAAATGAGATCACAGCATCTTCCTGACTAAAAAGCTGGAGAAGACATAAGAAAAAACATAAAGGAATTTGCTCCGTTTATGTCATTAGGCAAGATCGGCCTGTAATGTTCAACCGATACACAGTTTCTGGTAATGAATACATCAATATGGGCATCTGAATTTCCAAATGTAAAATTTAAGTTTCTCAAAAATGGAGATGATGCCGCCGCCGCCGCCAGGACTTTGTCTATTTAAATGCTCACAAAAGCCTGCATGAGTTGTGTCAATTGTTATGCCGATAAGCTTGAATCCGCATCAGACAATAGAACACTCTCGTAGGGAACAAAAAATAAAAAACAAGCAATGTCTCACCTGACACGATTTTTCTCATCACAAAAGAATGGTGTTGATGACTGATAATCATCTGTCCCAAAGTACCTATCCCCAAACTCACCCATCCCAGGGATGACGCGGAAATCATCATTCAGACCAAACTCGATTTCTGATGTCACGATCTTCACTCTTGGAAATCTCTTGCTGACCACATGCACTCCTTGGGGAGCCTGGAACAATTCCAACAGTTTTTGTGGTAAGCTCAATGGTTATCAACCGCCACACAATAACAGCGAACGTGATAAGTTCCAACATAGCAAGCATGTACAGCAATGGTCATAAGTTCCAGACTGCACTTCGAGAAGTAACTTGTAGAGAGTTATCCACTGTGCCCTCCATTAACTGTTCAGCAATTTGCCGAACAACAGATACAGAAAGTTGAAAAATGCAGTAGATATGCTTATTAGCTAGCAATTGTGTTCACCAAACCAGTACAAGTGAAGTATTGAAGTAGGCAGAATGCGTAAATAAGATTTAGCTTCCACTAAAGGACAACCTTGTAAGAGGAAAAGGAGACAAAAAATATTATATCTATTATTGTACCAAAACAATCAGATTATGAGCTTCAATAGAGCACATATGCAATCCATGCAAATAAATAAATAATGAATCCAAAGTCAGCACTTCAGTAGACTTACTGATATAAGATTCAGAAAAATAATATTTGTTTCCTGTACACCCTTTTTCAAGAGTAGAGATATAGCTTGAACAGCTGAATTTCCTGGTATGATGAAGAAGATAAGACTATATGAGATGAAACGAATATCCAACAGTAGAGCAGGTGCGCGAAATTTCAGCAAGTCAATAGACAAAACAATGTACATTATATGCATGAGATACATTGAGAACATCACAGATGACACGTGAAATAGTTTGAAAAGGGACAATTTGCCAAACTAATTTTGTTGCAAAAGTACAGAATCCCCACATTTGTTTGCTCTCTTTTACATGAGATAGGTGGAGGCAGAAGTGCTCCAGTGAGCACAAGAACAAAATTCATGTAACAACAGGAAGGATATGTGAGAATCATCAACATACCTGTTCCCAGTATGGGATCCAACAACAGCACATGCCTGTTTGCAATATCTTTCGGTAAATTGTGATAGATTAGCTGCAAGGAATCAAGAGCTTAGTAATTTGACTAACTCCAACAAATAATGCCAAAAGTAGATTAAACCAAACCTGTTTGCCATTGTCTCCTTCCCTGTGAATAAGAATCTTCCCAATTTTTATACCTTTGCAGCATGCCCGCAATGCATTCTCCATACTCTCACCACTGGAGAGAAGTTGCAGAAAATAATTAACATAGTTATGCCTTTCTATTCAAAAATTTATGATGTGCTTTACTAACAAGATACTTGACAAGGAATGAATCCAAGATTATGAGTTGCTCAAGAAAGCATGCTTAGTAGTGACTAGGATAGGGTTTATAGGAATGTAGCCCAAAGGCCAGGCTAAGGACACTGAATTAAAGTTTCCAATATTTTCTGGTACAGCATTTGTAAATAGCCGTGTCGCTCCATTTTATCATTTTGCACGAGTTATCAAGCAAAGAAAAGGAGAAACATAAAGATATCGCTGACAAACATGATAGTAGCATGGTACAAAATAAAAAACTTTCCAACTGAGTTCCAAGTGTGATCTCAATTAGAGTCTCAAGTGAGTGCAAGATCAAAATATCAAGAAGTTACTACCTTCTAATCACTGAGATACCACACAATCTTTTGGAGAACTCTACCCCAGTGTAAACCGATCCTGCACGCATAAATAAGGGCAAAGATATAAATTAATTGCAGGAGAAAACAAATGCATATAACTCCATGATTCTCAAGAGAACAGAACTATGGAGGTAAATAATCTATAACCCCTTCGGATAGAAGTCCTCAAGATTTACCTTGGTTTTGTCTGTATTCAGCTAATATGAAAATGAAAATGAGGACAATTACCCTTGTTTGGGAAAATTTGGAAGAGCAAACAATGAATGGTTACAAAATCTCAATGTGAGAAGTTTTATGCGAGAAGATCAAACAATGAATGGTTCCAAGATTTTAGAAAACATGAACCCAACAAATAGATGCTTGTTGCCATGCGCAATTATCAAATGATGAGTAACAAAAACAAAAGGAAAAAATATGAACCATGATACTGCAACCCATACAAACTTAACGCAGAATGACATGCCACATTATGTTTAATCATAATCATTAGAAACAGGAGAATAAATTACTATGAAATATATAGCTTGAATTCAATGGAAAAATACTAATACAGGACATTATGTTTAATCATGTACTGGTCCAGATTCAGCATCTTAATACAACTAGCAGCGAGCAAGATTCTCTGCATTTGAAGAGATAATTTGTAACACCAGAACAGTACAAGGAAGACAACGAATGGTCACAGTGCAATACTACCTACCAGTTGGAGTTATGACCTGCTTTTCCTTGAATGGAAGATGACCAAGACCATGCTCAACAACCTATATTCCACAGCAAAATTCAAGCTACCATGGGAACTCATACAAAAGAAAACATGTCAATTGCATTTTCATACTGACCAATCGAATCAACCGATCAGCATAGAATATGAAATCATGTGTTGTTGTGGCAGCATCCCGTATTATTGTGTGCATACCTCGTATCTGAAAGAAAGAAGAATTGAAATGCTAATATTTATATACGCTACAAAAATCCAGAAATAATTGCATTAACATTCAATATTATGAGATTATCAAAAAACAATCGGTTTTATAAGAAAAAACTGCAGCACATTTATGGTCACATGAAGTACCTGATAAGTAGTCTGAATGACATACAAATTGGGGTGTACTTTACAGAGATCATGTTGACCAAGCTTAGTACGAATATGCTGAACTATTAAGTCAATTGCAACATCATTATCGCCACCTCGTGGGATGATAATATCAGCATACTTCTTGGTTGGGAGGATGAAGTCTTCAAAAGCAGGCTTAACAAACTTTGAGTACTGTAAAACATAAGTAGAATTAAGTGGTTAATTTCAAAAAAGAATCATCAAGGAGATCTGACCTAACAACTAAGATTTGTAAACATGTTAAATAAAAACAGCTCTAGTGAGTAAAAAGGTATGTGACCATGTAACCTGATCTAGCACAGTTTTGATATCTCTACCCTTCTCAATGGTGTCACGTCGAATCCTCCTTGTTAATCGCACATCAGCATCTGAAAATTCAATAGGATGAAATACAATAAAGGACAACACATTCACAGGGTTCAATGGATAGCTACAAACTATTTTTCTTGTGAATTTACAGGCCCTGTCTATCAACATACGTAAGTTCAAGATAGTGATAAATTCACAAGAGTGATTAGAAGGATGTCTCTCAAGTTCTTTAACTAGGGGGCATGCGAAGTGGTAGCCTTGGTTGTTTCCTTCACAGCAGTTTATGCAATATACATTTGGCGACATTTGTGACTTCAAAAATAACTCTTTTCGTATTTAAAAAACAAATGAACAGTATTTCAAAATATGGAAATAACTAAAAAATTGTGAGTTGATACAAAAGAACTAGTAAATGAACAATGAAATCAGTGTTCTAAAAGTCAGCCCTAGGTGCTGGGTAGCCCCCACAATCAGGTATTAGATGCCTATATGGTGCATAAGGTCACTCTTGGGTATTCCTGTTGCTATTTAGTGTTATAGTGTCTAGATTGTGTGTGATATGCTTGCTAATTTCTTGGATTTTACTAGTACCAAGTGTAACTCACTGTCCAGGAAATAAGTGTACGACAGTAAGAGTGGTCCCTCCGTCCCATTTTAAATGCAGCCATGATTTTCTGTGCTCAATTTTGATCGTCCGTCTTATTTGAATTTTTTTAAAAAAAATCAAAAACATTAGTCACGCATAAAGTACTATTCATGTTTTATCATCTAATAATAATAATAATAATACTAATTACAAAAAAAAATTAAATAAGACGAATGATCAAAGTTAGGCACGGAAACTCATGGTTGCACTTAAAATAGGACGGATGGAGTACTTCCAATTCAAATCAAATAGGAGACAACAAAAT